TTCGGAGTTTAGGGTTTAGGGCTTTTAGGGTTTATGGTTTAGGGTTTCGGGTTACGGTCTCAGGCGTTTTAGGGTTAAGGGGCTTCGGGGTTTGGGGTTTAGGGTTTAGGGTTGAGAGGTTTAGGGTTTAGGGTTGTGGGGGTTTAGTGTTTTGGGTTGGGGGCTTTTTTTTTAAGGGTTTAGGGTTGAGGGCTTTTTGGGTTGAGGGTTTTACGGTTGAGGGTTTTTAGGGTTTAGGGTTTAGGATCTATGGCTGAGGGATTTAGGGTTTAGGGATTTGTAGGGGCTTGTAGCGGTTTAGGGGCGGTTGATGTTGGAGTTTAGGGTGTGGCAAGATGGATTCCTAGGGCTTGGGGCGGGGTCCCTAATAATTTCAATAGGTTTTGGAGGACGTACAGTATCGTGTAAATTTCGTTCGAGGATTGCTCGGGCCTCTGTACCCTGGTGTCGGAGTATGCTGTAGTACATGAACTAAACAGCTATCCTTTACGACGAGTTTTGGGGGCCTGCGTTTTAGGTGTTGGGATTTAGGGTTTAGGGTGCTGCAGGCTTATAAAGCTTTGGCCGCCACAGGGGCCCGAATCGCTGGGACAAGTTGTTGCGATTCTTAGGTGCCTGTGTGGGCCCGTGGCTGACACTTTAGGATGTTTCGGCGCTTGGAAAGTTGTTGCAAGGTGTCCGGCTTAAGGCAATGGTCAACATAGGGGCTCAAAGGGTTCCAAGTGGGTAATAAGGGCTTTGCCGGCCCTAAAGACTTAGGTGCTTTCTTCCCGGTGCTATGAGGTTTCAACCTGCCTGAAAAATTGTGGCTTGGAGGGTTTATTTTCACATGATTACATCGGGACGATGATGCAACATGATTCGTAAAGTTCCGTGGTGTGAGTTTCAAGGTAGAGGCAGAGGGTTGAGAAGAGCACTGTAGTGATGTTTTTGAAGCTTCATTCCTACCTCCCCACAGCTGCCCGAGGGTAGGGGCCGTGCGGGTCGGGTTCTTTGGAAATCGAGGGGTCCTTCTTAGCGGTTCTTCGGGCTTAACCGTTTTATAGCGAAGGGGTTGTATTTGGGTCTGGGTTCTGACAAAGTGGGGTGGGAGCTGGGCTTAGAGTTTTGGAAACGTTCAATCGGGTTGTACATGCTCTTTGGGATCCTCGAAAGGGTCTTTTACAGTTGATCTGCTTTCAGTAGACATCACCGGACCAAAGTCAATGTTCAAGGTGGCATCGACTGGCACCGGCAGGCACGGAATCCGTCCAAATCGAAAGTGACTTTGAATCAGTGCGTTGCATCAGAAGCCACTCAACCTAGAACCTAAAACCCACAAAAGTTCTGAACGCTTCAAGCCCCCACACACAAGAATCAAACTACAAAGCGCAAGCCCACAACTCGGGAATGTACGCCCCTGAGGCCTAAGATCTGCCAAGCACCCTAAGCCGCAACACAAAAACAACCTGAAGCTTAGCCCAGAAAGCTCAACGGATCCAAGAATTAGATACTTGGGCTTTGGTACACCAGTAGTGTAGGCTGGTGTTTCGGGGAAGATCGGATTAGATGATGAGCAGGTACTGGGACATTTAGGGTTGAAGGTTGGGTTCAAGTTTTTGGGTTGAGGTCTTTGAACTGCCTTGAACCCCTGTGACGCTTGTTTTGTTTCGCACCCCTCCGGCGCGGCAGGAGGTGACGCCCCGCCACCGCTGAGTTGGCATGCCACCTGACAGTCGTTGGAGGGCCCCAGACTTGGCAGAAGAACTGCTACTGTCGTCATGTCACTACACTTACCCTTCTTATCATTGTTCACTAAGTGTATGTCATTATCCACCTGTTTGAAATGGTACCGCAAGAGGGAAGAATGTTTGGAGTGTAGGGCCCGCATTACGATCCGACAATCATTGTTGAATCTTGATGCCAGGCGAAGTCCACCACTCCTGGCAGAACATCCTGAATGCTACCTACAGGCTCCGGGGATGGGCAAAGGATTCTAGAGGGCCCAAGTCTGGAGACGATAACCGTGCATTCTGTGAACGACTCAAGAAGTCGCACGAACCTACAAAACACAATCGAAGTGATAGATTTCGAATAACCGGAAGCTTCATGACCGGAGGAGTTTGAACGGCTACGGCTCAAGGTGTGGGAGCTAGAGCAGCTAGGCTTCGAGTGGCGAGACTAAATCGCGCTTCTGTGCAGTGTGCATTGTAGTTCGCGTGGTAGTGCACATTCACGGACCTTGAAACAAGCTCAGACCCTGAAATCCTGCGCTCAAGAACCCACGCCCTGAACATCTTTTCACACCGAGGCGGGTGCTTTGGGTATTTCGGCAACATTGACTGTTGCCACGGTAAAGACCTACGCTATGAATTGTCTCTGCACCTCGGTATTCCTGTCGCGGATGGTGCTACGATTGCCGCCGCCATCACGACCGCAACTTTTTGCCAAGACGACTGACTCCTGCCACCATGACCAGGACTGCTACTACTGCTGCTGCTGCTGCTGCGGCCGCTACTGCTACTGGCTCTGCCTCGTAATGCTACTGCTGCGGCTACTACTGCTACTGCTACTGCTACTACGGCCTGCTATGGCTACGACGACCACGACGATAGTTTGTCACATTTTGGTATGTTTGCTCTTTCTCGTCATCTTATTGTTGCACTACTGATTCGCCGAGTCGCAAGCTGGAAGTATGCCCCGCCAGCCGACAGCAATTCATCATGTTTCCCCTCCTCCACTACCTGTCACAAGGCTTAGCGGCTTGAAAGCCCTTCTGAGAAGTCATAGGGGAGGGATTTCAACTTGAATCTCTGCCTCCAGATTTCTCCACAACAGTACAGAAGTTCTTGCGACTAAGCAAACCTTGTCATACCCAAAGCAGACTGTGCCTCACACTCTTAAACCCAAGGAAAAGAAAAGACATCTAGGACTTAAGCCCTTTCAAAGTTAAGAGTATTGTCGAGACGTACATCTAGGGGCCTGGAAGTAGCAAAAGTCTGTGCCGCTCAGAAGCAGATCCTGCGACCCCAAACGCCACCTTTGAAGTGCAAGAACCTCGACCCTACAGCCTGACGCACCCAGAACCAGAAGTGGACTAAGAGACACTTCCCTCCATTTGAAAATTCAGTCAGAAGCCACTGGGTAGTTCCGAGTATTGCCGCGGATGTATCTCGCCGAAACACGCATTCCATGAAAGAGTTCACAGACGTGTGCAAGCCGGTGTCGCACTCAGTGACTGGCGGAAGTCGTTGGCTGCCAAGCCCATTCGGGAAAACCACTGATTTCCTCGTCACGGATCTGAGGTCGAAAGACAGCGGGACGAGGTAGCAGCCTGCTCCAAGCATTCGCCTCGCCACGATCCCCTTCTCGAACAGTCACAGGTTCTAAAGTCCTGCCCAAAACCCAAAGCTGCTCCTAGGTCTGGTAGCCCGGGGTCCTGACCTGCTCCTGGCCCTGCTGGACCATGTGGCCCAGCAACTCCATCATCTGCACTTGAACGGCACCACCTATTGGCGAAGTTGGATCAAAAGGATTTGTAAGCTGTTGGGGCCGAGGTCCATGTTGTTCAGGCTGAGGTCCAGGTTGTAGGGGCTGGCTGCAGTCCATGTTCCATTTCTTCTGCTCGTCAAGCAAAAGAAAACACAAGCACTGATTGCACAAGAAAGCTTCTCACTCCAAATCAACCGATTGCCCTGTTGAAGGCTTCAAGCTCACCGAAAACTTCTCGTTGCCACGTGATGAGGAAGACTGCTCGAACAATTCTAGATCCTTGTCAAACTGAGAATGCTCCTCTGAAGGGAACACGGAGTCCTTTACCACCTGCAAAGGCAAAGCAAACTCGCTGGAGTCTTCGACACAGAAGCTCAAGTACACCTGGCGGAGGTGGTCGTCCTTCAAGCACCAAAGAGCAAAAGCGTGCACTCCTCCGACTGTGTGGAGTTCAGCCAAGCGGTTCTCCAGTGCAGTTTCAGCAGTCTGCAAGATTCGGCACCAACCAGCTGGCGTTCGCCCGGGCGGTCGCGCTGAAGCAGCTGCTCGAGCTGGTGTTCCCGGACCCTGTGGCGCAGTGCTTCCACGCTCGCTCCTGTCGCCGCCGTGGCTCAGGTGCAGCTGGTCTCTTCTTTCACCGAAGAAGCACCGAAAAGAACCCAACACAAAAGATCAAGCACAATGGCCCCTGAACGAGGACCCCAAGAAGAAAGTCCGAAGAACGTGTTCCGAAGCTCTGGTCGGCCAGAGCTCCGCTACCATGCGTAAAAAGGAGATATGAGTTTTGCATTAGCTCAGGCACAAGCACACGCGTGAGGCGCACTTCTCTGCATCGAGTTGGTGCCGCAGTCGTATCCTTATCTCCTTCAACTGATTGCATTATACTTGTTAGAACTTTATATACACAGCCTTGCAACGCCAGCGCCTCAGAACGGGTGCTTCTGCGGCTGCTGCTGCTGCTGCTGGCTGAGCACCTGCCGCGGCCGCGTGGCTTCGGCCGCGGCCTTGGCCTTGGCCCGTGCTGCCTGACTACGTACCGAAAAGCCCCAACCCGATAGACCCACAGACTGTAAACCCGAAATCCTGAGCCCCTGTAAGCCTTAAACTCTTGAGCCTGGCCCCCTTTGATGACGCAGATCTTGTCGCTGTTCTTCACTGTGCTGAGCCGGTGGGCGATGATGATCACCGTCATGGAGCCTGGGGGTTCGAGAACCCCTCTGAAGGGCCTTTCGGGGGTTTCCGTAGGGTTTCGCTGCGGCTCCGGGTCTCTCGTTTGTTTTAAGTATTTATGTTGATCGCAAAGGTTCGGAGGCTGCGAAAAGGAGGATGATGGACGTGAAGCCAATGGCTGCCAGGGGCCCTTTTCCTTGATGCTCCAAGCCCGGCTATTTCAGCAGGTGCACGAAGGTTCTGGGCTTGGTTTGTGGAGTGCGATTCTACCGGGCTTCTGTTTCCGGCGTGGGGTTCTGGATTGCCGATGTCTGAGCGCTTAGAGACTTTAAAGGTCAAGGCTTGCCGCATCAGCTTCATACAGCCCCAACCCTTTCCGAACTTGTCTCGCACTCCGGCACGAGAGGTGACCCCAAAACCAGAACCCTAAACTGAAACCGTAAACGTACTCTATGACAGACCCTCAGCCATAAAGCCCTAAGCCAGAATCCTTGCCTCAAAAAATTCTGGATGCTAGGCTCCTGGACCCTCTGTGAAAGTAAATAAGCAAGCTTCAGAGAGCGAATGAGCCCTTCCCCAGTAGTTGGGGGTACCCTTTTCCCTATCATTGATCGTTAGCCGGCTTAAGTTTTAGGGCGAAATCTTTGTTTGCCTCTGTGCTTTGCACACCTTACAACCATGAACCATCAGCTTGTAAGGAAAGCCTCGCTTGCACGGATGTCAGGCCGAAGCTAGCCTAAAATCTCGCAATCCCGCATGCTGCACCCAAAACTGGGCGGTTCTTGGAGGTCCTCTCGAAAGCTTAGTTTTGCTCTTGAAATGTATTCTGATTATAGTCAACTTATTTTCAGATTTCAGGGGCCTGGAAAAGCATAACTTCAAACTCTCAAGCCTGTACATCTCTACCTCCAAGCCTGCAGACAATCATAACTCTCAATGAATGCTCAAGCCACCACCATGCCCTCTAAAGGCCTTCAAAACCCGAAACCCCCGAACCCCAAAGCCCCCAACAACCCGTCTGAGTCTGTCTTCAATGCTGCCACAAATGAGCCCCAAAGCCTTTATCCCTCCCCAACCCTCAACCCTGAACCCTCAAAGCCTGAAGCCAGAAAACCTTCAGACCGTAGGCACCCAAATCCTGAGACCTCCTATAGTATAGGGGCCTCTATGATCATTTAGCATTCCACTCTCGTAGATTGTTGAATTCACGTTATATTGTATGAAGGAGCCCCACTGTAAGCAAGATCATTACAACTTTCGCAGGCCCAGAGCTCGCCTTCTGCGATCATACTATCGATCGCCCGCTGGACCTTCATCTGTCGTGTCTACTCTAAGGGCCTTCATGGATAGAGCGGGGTTCCTTTGTGGGTTTAGGGTTTAGGGCTTAAAGGTTCTATAGGAATTCAAGGATATAGCGGCCTTAACAACTCGAACAATGCATGGGGCATGTGAAACCACGATTCTGGGAGCTCACAGGTATGGCATCACCACTGTCGTCAGGCTTCTCTAGAATGTCTAGAAGGTCAGGGGATACAGAAAAGGATCAGGTTTTTCATGGATAGGGCGCAGGCAGTAGGCTAACATTCGGTATCAGAGCTTAGGTTGAGGGATTAGGGCTTAGCGAAGGGTGTTAGAGTTTAGGGGCTGCGGGCTTGGGCGCTCGGGCTTTAGATTAAAGTTCAAACCTCAAGATTGGGTTTCTGTTTTCAAGGCAGAATAAGGGCCAAGTCTCAGAAAAACAGGTGAGCCTGGCACAAGGACTGAATAATAGGATTACACCGATCCCAGACAAGACCCGCAAACCAGGAGAACCTTTCTACCCTAAACTTACAGGGTCTTAGCAAGCAGGTGATCCACCGGGACTCTAGGGACCCTAGGAGGCTTTCTGACGTTTCATCGAGAGGTCGTACCGGCTTGACAGGACCGCATGTGCAGCCCAATTACAGTAAACCCTAGCAGGCAAAGAGATCAATAGCCGGAATAGATGCGGTATAGATGCTGTTAGCAACATATCACCCCAAGCACCAAACCCTAAACGCCGTGGTTTACCTTCCCCAAGCTGGCTACCTAGAGGCTGAGGGGACTTGGCCGTAAAAAGGGTTGCAGTAAGACGCACTCAACTCAGGTGCTGTTGACCGACAAGTAATAAACGAAATTCTCAAGTAAGTAAATCAGCCGGGTTAGGCGTACAGAGGTTTGGGTTTGCAGGCCCCGCGGTAAGCCCTGGTGAAACCTGTACAACTAAGCTTAGCCGATATATGTTTAGCAGGCCCCTAAGCCCTAAGCCCAACCCAATCCAACAGCAACCGCACAAATACCCCGTGAGCCGCTGTAAACATCGTCACTTCGGGATCGGAATGATAAGGACCCTCTCGTGTTTAGGATGTTTTGGGCTTACATCCGGGTCCTGTAATATGGGGGCCTTTGTAATTACAAGGGCTTTTCTTGGATGGGGGAGGGTGGGGGGCGCATTGTACCAAAAGTAGAACAAGGAGGGCGTAGTTTCGACTTCTTCGAAGCGCCTGGAGCTCGGATTCCGCATCCAAAGCACTGGTGGCCTCGAGCAGCCCAGGGTTGAGGGATGTTGAGGCTTTGGGTTTGGGGTTCAGGGGCTTCGGGCTTTAAGGATTTGGCTTTTCGGAAGGGGGTGTACCTAGGGCCTTTGGGATTTTGGGCTTTGGGTGCTGAGTCTACGGCCTACACAATTAAGGCTTCGTCGTGTTCCCATCATCCCGGCTCTGATTGGGTATTCTGGTGGCTCCCTGGACGTCCACGTGCCTATGCGGTACACACTTTGGCCCCTAAGTTGCCACACAAACATCTCTTGCAAAGGCCGAAGTATGTACTGCGATCGGTCATAGTAAACCCAGAAGCCCCAGAAGCCCTAAACTCGAAGTGAATCCCCTTTGCAAGGATTTTATGAGGTTTGTTACGGGTGAAGTGTGCAGGCTCGGCCATTTAATTTCTGTTCTCAGCTGTTGAGGACGTGCTGACTGGGGTGTAGTCTACGGCGCCTTAGTCTGCTTTGAAGACTTGGTAACCTAAGTGGAGTTGCGCAAGGCCAATAACTTTAACGATTACTGGCTGAGCTTGGCCCAGAGCCCAGAGATTCCATTGTTTTGTCAAGGTAACCCCCTCGGGGGTGTCATAGAAATCATATGTTCAGGCACTTAAAAAAACGAGGTTTACTCCTCACGGTCAGCATCACTATGAGCCGTCATACAACCCTCATATAAACCCTCCAGGAGACTATACACTCGTGACCCCGAAAGGGGCATTTAATGTGAACTGACCATCAACTAAAGATTAATTAGCCAAGTCAAGTACTAACTCTGTGCATTCGTCAGGCACCAACACGGTTTAGGGTACCCAGTTCAAAACTTATACCCAACACTCGACCAAACTACAACCTGATTCCCAGTCCTTGCGTTAATTCCCCCAAGTCCTACCTGCTTCTGGAACTATACCTAACCGCAAAAGCTAGGATATCATGGAACTCGCAACACGGAACCCTACAAAAGTAGGTCATTTAGGAATCAAAATAAAGAACTCTAGGAAGGTACGCACTTGGGGTCCTTCTGTATGCCCTGAAACTTGTACCGGAATACCTGAGCTTACGACCCCGAATGTTTCAGGAACTACTGGTTTCGACTTGCAGAATAGCGGATCAGGGTTCAGTGTCGTGAGCACATAAGAAGCTGCAATGTAGGGGCATTCGGTGTAAGAGAACCGAATGAAACCCTGAATCCGTGAAGCCCTTACTTCCTGAATCCAAATTCCGAAGCCCTGTCGTAAACCCTAATTCCTTAACCCTCAGTCTCCATTACCCTGAGATTGTAAGCTAGGCTGTCTGGATATCCTTGTGAAACCAGAACATAAGCCAACGAAGCGGAACATATAAAACACTGAAACCCCGAAGAGCTGTCCCGATCCGGCAAACCTGCTGGTGTATTGCTAACCACACAATTGCTAGCTGCTAGATCCCTGGTGATTTGGAATGTGTTTCGGGGACTCGGATCTATGGCCAATCCTTTGGATCTATAATTAGAGGGTGCTGGGTTTTGTAGCCTTCTTCAATGGTCGGGGCATTAATATGCAAGGCCTTGGGTTTGTGGAGCATAGATATTGCAATTCTACTGCAAATCCGAAACCCGAAGCCGCACCTCATCCAGCAAAAGGACCTGAAAACAGCAGGAGCTTTTTGAGGTTGCGGTGTGTTGGGGTCGAGGGATCCCGGCTGTAGGCTTCGCGGATTTTTGTGTCGGGACCGTGCCAATGTTTTTCATGGTTTGTCGGATTTAGGGTGAAGCGAAGCTTTTCGGTAGCCTCTTAAGGGCCGCCCGACTGTACACTCATCAATCTTCCGCACCAGCTGCATGCACTTACCACATGCCGAATCCAAAGCTTACCTCCCGCACTTCGGACATTGGATCTTGACGCTGTTGGGCCTGTCTTTGTTCATCCCGAGAAAAGGTTGAAGGTGTCTTACCCGACGGCTAAGACCGCATGTGGTAGTTGTTGCCAGGTGGCCGGCGTCATCTCAAAGACGAGGGTCACTTTTTCCCAGCATTCAGTCTTAATAGGGAGACCTCAAAACCAAGAGTTCAGGGGTACTCCTGCGCTGCCTAGGTTCGATATGCTCGTCAGTCAAAGATCGCCGTTCCCTTGCGGGGTGGATCACCTTTTCAGGAAGTCTGTTCTTCAAGGTACCAAAATCGGGTAGGTAGCACATCAAACCGCCAGTAATTAGAGGCCTTCGGGCGGCGAGCCAGCGATCGGGCAATGGCGATGCGTTGCTTTTGACCTCTGCAAGATTTGGGGGAGCCGTTTGTGGAGCCATGTAGGTTTAGTGCTGGGCTTGGGGTACTTAAGGCGGTACCTACTAGTATATCCCATCTAGCACTTGTATACTTTGGCCTTGAAGGGGTTCTTACTTACGTGGTCTTTTGATTTTCCCGTCTCTCTACTCAAAAGGGGCATGGAGCCTCTGAGCGCTATAGCCAAAACAGTAAACCCCCAAACCCTAAGGACCCCTACCTTCCACCATAAGCGATTTCGTCAGGCCGTAATTCCGTAAGATTTAAGATTTATCGTGATCAGAGTTCGGTTCAAGTCCTGCAAAGCCAACGAAGAAAAGCACCTTTATGCAAGATATTCGCAAGATATTTTACAATTGTGTTTCTGGGGACTCCCACCTCTCTCTCGCTCTCACTCTCGCTCTCGCTCTCTATCTCTACATATTTCATATACATATATATGTATATATATATATATATGCACAATGTCAGCCGAATTTAAACCCTGGTCTAAAAACCTTTGTCAAAGCCACAAAACCCTAAACCTAACAAGCGCTAAACCGTAACATAGGGTTTCTGTCATGAACAGTACCCACAACAAAACCGTACAAACAGATTCGCCAAATCCCCTATTGTGCCTAGTATACACCTTATCGAACCGTGTAAACCCCTTCGAGAAGCCTTGCAGAGACAACTCCCCAATATAAACCCTGTGACGCTTAACGCCCACCCTGAACCCTACTTCACCCACAACGCGAAGCAAGCAGGTGACCTCCAGAGAGTTGCACACCGCGCTCCCCCACCTCCGTGGCATAGCCTGCTTTTAATCGCTGGGACGTGTTCGTAGTTCCTTTAGCTTAAGAGGTATCTTAAGGGTGTTAACGGGTTTTATGATGTTGTATATTGCTGTGTAAAGGTTTGAAAAAGGCTCATTCTTTGTATCTTCTGGAACTAGAAACGGTGTTCGAATATCGACGCCCTTCCACCAGTGGACCAAAAGGGTTTGCCATGATATACAGTTTGAAGGAAAGCCTTGATTGCCGTAATGAAATTCCAACTTTCTGGATGTACTACTCTGAAACATTGGACCCAAACCCGAAAACTAAAATCCTATTCCCCCGAACAAAGCTAATCACCTATACACCTTGAGTCAACCTAATACAGGGGTTCTCATAGTTCGAATATGGCTTGCGGGTATATGAAAACATGCATACACTTCGACCCTTAAACACGACGTCCTCGTCCTCCTGTTCGAGCCCATGACCAGGGCTTGAATTGGCATCGGGACGTCATCAGGCCCTGAACCCCCTAACCCCCAATCCTCCATCCTGAACCTACGCCGTATCTGAGAGTGGTGTGAGGCTTGAGCTCTAGTAGCCTGAAAACGAGGCTGTCACGGGTTTGAAGATTTTAAGATTGAAAAATTCCAACCCAATCGCAAAACAACCAAATCCCTAAAATCAACAAACTGTGGTCTGCGGTTTAGGATGTATTTCCAGGCCCTGCCTTTGGGCATCTTGCTGATGAAGTCGTGCGCATTGGCCTTCGCTGCTAGATCTTCAATCCTTGGTGCTAAACGAAGACATGCCCACGGGGCCGAGAGCCTTCAAGACCCTTACTTGAGCAATATGCGTTAGCTCTAGAGCAAGCCTGGATATGATTTGAGGGTTATTGCTTCATTAAAGGGGTTTTTGGGTCTCCAGGCACTCGCCATACATCTTTATGATCGAGAAAACGACTAACATATGCAAGATATCTATATGAATTTCTCATGATGACAACCTACTTAGAGGCTCTGGGAACCTGGAAGTCAACTAAGTAGGTTCTAAGCCCAAGCAGGGCTATTGCTAGGATCAGCTCATTCGGGGCATTTGCAACATCACCGACTCATAAAAATGAGTAACCTTTGAATTCGTCATGGCTTATCCCACGATGCTGAGCCCGAAACATTTGAGAATCCCCAAACGCACCAACTAAGCCATAGCCAAGCCTAAACTATAGGTCCTATAGCTGTTCCCCAGAAAACCGACAGGCAGCCACCCTTGGAACCGAAAAACACCCTTCATGATGGCGTGGTTCAGACCCTGTAACACACGAAAGCCACCCAAAAGAACCCCCCCCCCCAAAACCTTCAGCGTTGTTATCCCAATGTCCCTATGTCTAATTGCCTTATACAAGGTGGGCCCAAACACGTAGTTATGCCAGCGTAGATCCCAAGCAGTGAAAGAGCGTCAGGACCATTACGCCAGCCCCTATAATCCCCCTCCCCGGAGCTCTTACGTAACCACACCCAGAGATTGAACACAAAAAAACAAAGGGGAAGTGCAGTGCCGAAAGGCTCCCGGAAGCTCAGTGAAACGCCACCTGCGAATCCGATGTCGACAAATTTCTATTTGGAAGGAGCTAAATATGTAAACGGCGATAGGATTTGTAAAGGGCTTCGCGTTGAGCGAGGTTGAGTGATGTCTTGCGTGGCTTTAGAGGGTCTTTTGTAACGACAGGTTTGAGAGGGTCTCTAAATGAAGGTATTGCAGGTCCTGTCTTGGCGAGGGCTAAGGTCTCAGTCCTCGGGTTTTCTTGGGGTTTAGGGTTCAGGACCTAGGGTTTTTTCAGCGTGGAGGCTTTAGGTTTTCAGGATTTGGGGATGCGTCGTCTCGGGATTCCCTGCCCCTGAACGAAATACCTCCTTAAGGACTTATATGCGGAAATCAGAATAAGGATCCCGACGCAGGTAGGCCATGCAGGCCTCAGGAGTGTAGCAAGTCAGGTTGTGGGGAAATCGCTGTCGCGGCTTCGGGTTCGGGCCAGGGCTAAAGGAACGGGTGTCAGGATATGAGGATCCCGGTCTCGCAGCAAGGACTTCAAGGTTTAGGGTCCCAGGGTTTTGGGGTTTAGGGCCTTCAGCACATTTAGGGTTTAGGGTCCCAGATGGTCCCCAGGGCTTAGGGTTTAGGGCCCTTGACACCCTAAACGTCCTCTTCTAAACTTGAACGAGGAAACCCCGAAACAGAAAGGGTCTAACAGTAGAACTGTGCGACGAAGTGTATCAGGGCCTAGTTCCCATAAACACACCCGACGATATGTCCTTAACTACCAATGTCCTAAGGAGCCCAAAATACACCAAAATCCCTCATCTAACCCTACCTTCATGTACGAAACTGATTAAAGCCGTGCACCCATGCAGGCACGTTTAAATGGTTGCCGCCTCAGCCGCGCAGCCAAACAACACCCCTGAACCCTAAACCTTGCATTCAGAACCCTGACACCCGCCAAGCGACCTGTTGCAGGCAGGTCCTCACCGCCGATTTTCTCGGGATTCTCCAAACCTCAGCGAAGTTTTTACAGCTAGGGCCTGGGTGAAGCTGCTAGTACGTCGCAGACGTGGGCGTGTGTTCCGGGGCAAGAGGGCTTATAACATCGTTTAGGGCTCGTGCTTTTGGAGTCTGGAAGTCTTATGTTCAGGGCGTCGTTGTGTACAGTGAAGCCCTTCCTCTAAGGAGCACCCCATGTAATCATGGTCGTCGAGGAGCCAAGGACGATATTCTCACGAATGGTGCGCGCGAAGAGAACAGGCTCCTTCTCCGGCGGAACACTCGACCCGAAACCTAGCCTAAGCCCTGGATCCTGATGGTACGCCTTAACCCGAGCTTGCTTGAGTAGTTCTCAGGGGGTTTCCATCGAGGTCAGAATTTTTGGTGTTCATATTCCACTTAGAGTCTGCTACTGGTAAGGCCGGATCAGACTGCGTCTCCGGATTTTGAGCATGTAGTTTTTGCGGTTTAGGCGCTTCTCTGAGCTTCGGGTCTTGGATGGCCTTTCAGGTTTGGGGTCTGATAACCCGACGGTTTAGGGTCTAGGGTGGGTTAGAACTCTACGCACACGCTAGATTTGGGAATAATCATAACAAGAGGCCATAACCGACAAGCCAGCAAGGGTAAAAAGGCAATTCGCCAATTAAGGACGTATGGAATAGGGATTGCTGGAAACAGCGCATCGGCCCACACTTCGAGAACGTCTACTTCAGATGTCACCTTGCGCCAAAAAGGAACTGAAAGAAAGTCTGCTGCATGTGTCGAAGGACTCCAGTTTGGTCTCCAAGCTGCTTAATTTGGAGCTAGAGTGTCGGGTTTAGGGTTTAAGGCCGTTGAAGGCTTCACTACTGGAGCCTCGTAACTCGTAACGTGGCGCGTGTCTTGGCTGTTGGGGCCATCAACCCGGTAAGTCAACAACGACGGCGTTGCGGTCGACCAGGATGGACATCCAGGAGGAATGGCCGTAAACCAAAGCATATGAATTTGAGGCAAACGAATACGAACTATAAAGCAACATCACTATTGATTACTCAGGCCTGTATTTTAACCCCAAAGCCCGAAAGATGTCAGGTTGCGCTGTAAGCACTTGACTCGATTCTAAAAGCCCGAACGAAATTGTGGTCCTGCCCCACGATTGAGACGACTTGGTGGAAATGCTCATGAGAGAAGTTCCAAATCGGAATCCCATCGAGGGTGATGCTTCCCTCCTGGAATGTGACTGGGGTGACATAGGTGGGCCTTGTATTCTGTTGCATCACAGCGCGATTATTTTGATGTTGACAGTCTGTAGATTTTGCGTGTATACATACTTGATTTTGTGTAGGGTTTTGATGTACTAAAGGGGCCGATATAATCAGGCTAGGGTACATTGAAACATAGTTACACAGGGACTCGAAGGAATGGCTCGTCGAACTTCTATGTCCAGCATGTCTAATGTAGGGGCCTAAATAATTACCAACACTAGTTTAGGGGTTCCTTATTAAAATTATAGTATAACGGGTCCCAAAACCCTATTCTACTTATTCAGGCCCCCTATATCAGGGTTTGGAAATTCGGAATGTTTTCTGGAGGCGGGGGGTTGAATGAAGCTCTTCTCGGGAGTGCGGTTTCCGTTTCCCTAAACATGAAGCACACCCCAACAGAAGGTTTAGGGCTTAATTAGAGGACTTCGTGAACAAGTTCGAGACGCAGCTCAAGCTTCCTCCCCGACAATAAGCGTCAACCCTAGAATCACCAAAAGAAGCTAAACTGCGAAACCGGCCAAACTCATCCAGAAAATATACCGGTTGAATGCCTTTGCGTTTATGCTACAGTATACCCCATTGAACGGTTGGAGTTCTATATCATTAAGGAACATTATGGCGTGGATGCTGCACAGTGACATGTTATGAACACCTTCGGCCCATTGCCTTTCATATCTCAAAACCCGAACGATACCTCGACGTGGTAAAGCCGCTTCAGCAGGGAGATGACTGTACTCTTCCCGTTGCCTGCCACCGTCGCTATGACATGTTCCTATCCAAACCAGGATTCAGAACAGTCGTGAACCGTAAAGCCTAAGCCAGAAACTTACCACGCCGAAAGCTAAATGCTCAAGGTGTCCAATTTCTGGGATTCTGGGGAGAATCTCTTCCTTTCGGACTCCACAGTTGCGACCACCACTGACATGAAGTACATTCTTGCTAATGTGACTTCGGTGGGGTTTGCCTTGTCAGACAAGATAGCCTGTAGACACAGAGTCAGGTTCAGCATCGGCGAGGAACCCTATAGTCAATCGCCGGCCGTGCCTGGTATGGCATGGAGTCCTGCAAAACAAACCTATTTGGTCTGGAACGGAAGCTGCTCCAAAAACATTTGCGGTGCGTTTTCCGAACCAGCTTCCTCTTCGAAACCCTGTCCATCACCAACATACAACTCAAAAGAGTAGATGCCTGGCATCAGTCTTCGCCGAGTTATTGGAATCAAAGACTGACCTGCGTCCTGAAGCAGACACGCCTTTTGAAGGTAGGTCCGAGAAGGAAATCATAACCGGGAGTAGGCTATATAGAATATAGCTCTCAAAGGTTCAGGTAGCATTGCTCAACAGTAAGTAGTTGGGACCCAGGAACTCAGCCCACAGACTACGGCTCTTCCAAAGCCTCCAAAGCCTGACGTATATTCCTAAACTGTCGGGTTTTGCAGTCACCGGGTCCCCTCTACTTTCATCCTAGGTTGAGGGGTTAGGGCTGATAGGCCCATTGGATTATCATGTCAGGCCAAGAGCCGTAAACCTGAAGCCTACAAACACGGACTCCTATAGTCGCAACAAAAACAACATGTCTAAACCCTTTCAGCCGCTGAGAACCACCTTGAGTATAATAGAACCTACCGTAGGGCCATGAAGACGCACTACAAAGCCCTATTGACAATTACGAGTTGCACCGCTACAAAAACTCACAAAACCCTGGTCTAAGCGCGGCAGGGTGCCTGAAGGTCCCACCAGGGCAACCACAGTGCTGGCCGGGACGTCAAGGCTCAAGCCATTCAGGATCTTCACCTCGCAGTTGGGTTTCAGGAGATACCAGAGATACCTTTACAGAAGCTCAAGCCCGAAACCCTACAGCCCTGCACCCGCCAAGAGTGAAAAATCTTGGCTGCCAGGGCGTAGTATCGTCGCCGTGAAGCTCATGCAAACAAGCTCGCTAATTCCGTGTTCGTGCCCGGAAAATCCCTAAGCTCCGAATATAGGCCCGATGATTGCAACAGGGATGGTTATTACAGCGCCTATGAGGGAGTCCCTTTGAGATACATCTCTTCCCACAATTCGGGACTACTTTTGGCAGTTTGTACACCCCCAAACGGAAAAAACAACAAACACACACACCACACACGGTGTCATCATTGCCGTCAGCCAGCATCTGGCCGGGCTGGGTAGCTGAAGTGAAGATCCTGCCGGCACAGGTTGACACTTGGGAGGGCCCCTAAACCCTGAATCCCCTAAACCCTGAATCGCCTAAACCCTAATTCCTCTAAACCCTGAATCATCCCCCCTAAACCCTAAATCCCCTAAACCCTGCATCGCCTAAACCCTGAATCATCCCCCCTAAACCCTAAATCCCATAAACCCTGAATCATCCCCCCTAAACCCTAAATCCCCTAAGCCCTGAATCGCCTAAACCCGAAATTTCCTAAACTCTAGATCCCCTAGACCCTGAATCGCCTAAACCCTGAGTCCCCTAAACCCTGAATCCCTAGACCCTAAACCCTAAAAAAGTCCACCAGGCTGGAGGTGCGGAAAAAGAAAAGTTCATGGCTGCAGCTCAAGTTCTAAAGAGGCTTCGAGGGCTTCGGTTCTAGCCAAGGGTTTAGGGTTTAGGGTTTCGGGTTTAGGGTTTAGGGCCAAGCAGCTTCCTCACTTAAAAATCATTGAAATTGGGTTGAGGGTTAAGGGAAATTGGGGATTAGGGTTCAGGGGTTTAGGGTTTAGGGAGATTGGGGGTATCTTGGCAAGGATGGGTCGGTCTCGAAGTCTGAAATGAACAGCAAGCACCCAAAAAAGCCTGACTCAACCCTTAACCGTTGCAGAGCCTATTTATGTGAGGTACCACGGCAAAGTTTCAGTTTCTTTTCAGGTATACCAGTGCAAACGCAGTGGAGAGTAGAACTGAATGCAGGAACATAGTACGAACATATAGATATATCCTGAAGCGGCTACGTGCACATTAAATCTTAAGCCTTTCTTAAACCCCATGCACCCGCACCCTTACACAGCCCAACCCTCCTCCCCGCCCGAGATTTTCCATTGAAGGTCATTGGCTTAAATCAGGGGCAGCAGTGTTTGGCGGCTCGGCGCGCATGAAGTTCTACAGAGGTTCTACAAGGGTACGCAAAGGACTACTATGAGCGTACCTAGGTTTCTACAACAAGCGTACTACAATGGTCCTATGAGTGTAGATACGGTTTAGGGCTTACCCTGAGAAGCCCTAACTCGCTGAGAGCATGTTTTAGGGTTGAAGTGGCCCCAAAACCCTGAACACAAAACAAGAGTTCACATTTCCGAAATTCAGGTGCTATGCTTCGAAAACGTGCTTCTAGGTTTTGCTTTAGATGATGTATAAGAATTATTCTAAAGCCCTCTCCATACACCTTTGCATCCTAAGTTGGGGCAATAAAAAGCCTTATATAACTTAAACCCCCAAACCTTAAAAACACAAACCTTTAAACGCATAAGCCACAAACGCCGCACGCAGAATTTACAATGACTGGAGGCACCGAAATCTTGCCTAAGAGAGAAGCCCCAATTGAAAGCTTCCATCGAGTCACGGGGCGTACAGGGATTGATGAAGACTGTCTGGGTTTAAAATTGTGGGACAGTGCAACACCAGGAAAACCAGAGCACAAAGCTTGCCTGTCATGGGCTTGTGCATTCCATAACTCATGTTTGTCACGCTGGGGCCCTGCAGCCATGGACTTCAATCACGTAGTTGCAGTGGCTGGGATTTCGGTGCCAACGCCCTGCATTTTGTACACCTACACATAACAAGGTCCGGCTCCAAGCCTTAAAACCGCTTGCCGATGCTTCGGGGTTTGGGGAATGTGGCATCTTCAACCCAGAAATCATTTGGCAGTACAACAAGGAACCCCTATACTCCTACACTAACAAAAACCTTCATAGTAGGATCCTCATCGCAAAGACCCCTCTAAACAAGGGCTCGGGCTCTATCGAAACCGCCACACACCTTAAAATCCATACAAAACCGCATAAAGCCCTACAACACCACTCGGCAAAACCATACGACACCGGTTTAAGCTTCAAAGCGCCTTCAAACACCCGAGAGCATGCCAGCGTAGATTCACAAACAGTGGTAGAGCACCGCGACGACACGACCAAAACCACCAGGAACACCAAGACGATCACCGCGACCACGAAAAAAAAGCGACTGCGACTACCACGGAGAGACCGCCACAAGTTTTCAGGAGATTGAGAGAGACCTGTCGACCGTGGGAAAACTGCCTCCCACAAGTACAAGCGGTATTGAGGAGCAGGGCCAAAATGCTTCCTCCAAGGACTTGCGGATTCAGCAGCACGGCCCGCGGTGCGAGATGCGTTTCTGGAAACCTCCCAGCGGGCGCGCCCAATGCCGGACAAAGCTACATAAAGCTCTTCTAAAGTCGCTGAAGCCGCTGAAAACTTTAGATCCCTGAAACCTCAACTCAGGGAGGCGGACCTTCCTGGCTTTGCTCAGACCGGGAGATCGGACCCCAAAAGCCAGTACTGCAATGCAGTTAAAGTCTTCGACATCGGAGCGGTTTTGGGCTCAGGGCTTACGGGGCTCACTGGGTTATTGGTTTTGGGGTTTGTAGGGTCCAAACTGTTCGGCCAGTCTAGGCAGGTCTTTTTGGTTTAGGTTTCTAGGATTGAATATTCTGGTATCAGGGGATCAAGGTTGTGGGTCGTGAGAGTTTGCACCGCGCGGTGCTGCTGTAGCCTGTGGATCCTAGTCCTTCGGAACAAGCTCCAAGAAGGGAGAGCATCTAAAGCTTGAAACCAATGGCTTAGGATTTCGAGCTCAGGGGTTCGGGTTTAGGGTTCAGGGTGCCGGTACCCTCTTGCAGCTGGCACTAGCTTCGTACTACCACTGCCTTATGAACTGCGTTGTTGTACGTAATCATCACAGTGCTGTTGTT